AGAAGAATAAAGAAAACCAAAGACACATGGAAACAATTAGTCCAAGGGACTAGTGGACTATGCAAACCTCAGCCTATATGACCATGAGACCAGAAGAACTAGATAGTGCCCAGTTACCATTGTTAACCACTTGGAAAGGGATCAGTGCAGGAGATCCTGGATAGAGTGGGAGAACAATGTGGAACAACAACAACAACAACAAAAAAAAACTCAAATTATAGCAAAGACCAGGTTTACTGGTCTGACAGAGCCTGCTGAGACCTCCGAAACTATGGCCCCTAGTTACCTTTTAGGTCTGAAATTGAACTCACTTTCATGGCTTCCAGCTAAACAATAGATAGAAATATAGGGTGAATATTTACATCAGGTAGCTAGACTCCTTAGAATGATCAATCACTGAATAACAGAAAAGCAGTATTTGCCCAGGGAGATAGCTCAGGGGGCAGGAATGCATAGGAAAGAAGGACACAGGAAAAAGGTAACTACAGGGGGGAAGTGAGAAGAGAGCTGTTACATTGTGGGGCATTGCAGTCAATGTCATGAAGCAAAATGGTGGGAACTGCTGTGTGGGAAATGAATTTGCTCTGTAAACTTTCACCCAAGTCACAATAAAAATTTAAAGAAAAAAAATTAAGATCAACCCATCAATTTCTACAAACAAGAAGCTAGGTGAGAGTTAGACTGAGATTCAACTGAATCTGTAGGTCAATTCTGGGAGACTTGTCCTCTTAACACTGTTGAGACTTCCAATACCTGGGCATAGAATTCCTCTCCATTTATTTAAAACTTTTTAAATTTCTCTCATCACTGTGTAGTGTTTCATGCACACATCTTGCAGGGTTTTCTTTTTTGGCCATGAAATTCATTTATAAAAGAACAAATCTATTATATTATTTTTTGTTGTTGTTGTTGTTATGTGCCATCGAGTCAAACCCGACTCATAGCGACCCCTCCTTGGGTTTCCGAGGTGGTATCACTGCGGAAGTAGGATTGCCCAACCTTCCTTCCGAGGAGTGGCTGGTGGGTTTGAACCGCCAGCTGTCTGGTTAGCAGGCAAGTGTCTTAGCCACTATGCTACCAGAGTTCCTAGGTATTTGTGTTAGAAAAATTTAAAACTTAATGCTCTGTACAGAGCTGTTGGATAAATTAAATACATCTATGAGAAATTAAGCCATTAAAATTTGGTTTTGAAGGCATATTTATTAACAAGATAGGTAACATATGCTTTTATGCTACTGCAAATAGTATTTTGTTGCCCTTCCTTTCTCAGATTGTTTGTTGCCAGTTACATGGCCATAGAATGGATTTGGGTATGTTGGTGCTGATCTTGCATCCTGACAACTTGCTCCATCTGTGGTGGTGCAGACTTGGCATGGAGTCAGATGCGTCTCCCGATTAGGCTGCAGCACCCACTCCCTGGGCACGTTACTGAACCTCACAGAGCTTCAGTCTTGCATCTGTTACACAGCCACAGCAAGCCTCTCTTGCATCTTCACCGTGAGGGTGTTCAGTAAAGAACGCAGCCTGGAACAGGCAAACACCCAGACCAGCAGGAACTGCATCATGACCCCCTGCCATCTCCTCAGCATCAGAAGATCCCAAACCGAGCTTGGTCCAGAATCACAACTCATTGGTGCGTTTGTAGGACTGGCAGACAGGACTCAACTCAACTCGACTCACTGACATTGAGTTGTCCCGACTCAGCGACCCCTCCTTGGGTTTCCGAGGCAGTATCTCTATGGAGGTAGATTGCCCTACCTTCCTTCCAAGAAGTAGCAGCTGCTTTGAAAAAAAAAGGACCCCTTCCTGTTTGCTGGTCACTGTCTCCAAACCAGTTCCAGGAATTGACCTGACAAATATTGACACGGCTGCTGGGATCTTCAAAGGCCATTTTCCTGTGGGTGGAAGGCAATGTGGTGCTGAAGATCCAGAGATGGCCAGGGACCCTGCAGTGAGTACCATGCACATCCCTGGTACCCGAGACGAAGGCGGGGGCGGCGGCTACCTCTCTTTCCCTCTGGCTTTGCAGGACAGGGGTGGGACAAGTGAGTTCCCAAAAGAAAAAAATGGACTGAGATACTACTTCCAAGACTTAAATCAGGAACTTTGAGCTTTTAATAACCTTTTGTGGAACACCTGGCCTTCTGAGAGAGGAAGCCCTGCTATTCCCGGCAGTTAGGCAGGAAAACAGAACACACAATGCAAAGTGAAACAACAGTGTTTTTGTAGATAATTTGCTAGAAATTCGGTTTTATGAAAAACGTCAGGCTTAAGAGCCTGGGTAGGAGTTGGAATCTTGCTCCTGCCACCTACCAGGTGTTTGTTCGGACTCCAAGTTTCGGGTTCCCTGTGTGTAAAACAATTGTAATGCTTGCTTACTTCTTAAGGTTCCCCAATCCACACAGGATTGCAGTGACTTTTTCAGAAGTTTCCAAGCCTTTTGGCTGAGCACCTCTAGCTGGACTCCAATGTCCAGTCTTTGAGTTAACAGCTAGTGTTTAACCATTCCACCACCTAGGGACCTTTACAGTTCTCGTAACATTGAAATTAAATGACAGCAGTATTTCTCAGCAGGGGCACTACTGGCATTGGGCAGGGCTGCTGTTCATTACATATGACTATTTTGGACTATTATATTGCATCCCTGAATTTCAGACACTAAACACCAGTAGCACCCTCCTTCTCTAGTTGTTGAGATGATCCAAACACACCCCCTCTCCCACAAACACACATAGACATGTAGTCATTGTTGGGAGCCACTGATACAGTTTATCTAATATCCTTGATACATAGTAAACACCTAATACATGAAGAATGTTACAATTAGTGAATGGATATCTTTCTGCAAAGGGAATAGAGAAATGAACTGGGAGTCATTACAATTGGCCTTGGCAGGAGAACAAAACCAGCCTTACGCACTTTGTATGTGCCATGGGTGTGTCTATTGTATGTCAACTCATCCTTCAGGGACCCCATGAAGCAGGCAGTGTCATTTGCATCTGGGAATGGGAACACAGAGGTTGCCAGAGGTTCAGAGGCACAGTGAGTTACTGGCAGCACCTCAATTCCAATCCCAGGACCTTGATTTAAATTCGATCCTACCTTCAGAAATTAACTCAATCCTTTTCTACACATCTGAGAATCTCTGGGATGCTTGAGGGTGAAAAATGGTGGTAAGTTCAGTGAATGAAAGGAATCAACCAAAAATAGTTTTGTCACAGCCTTAGTCTTTATTTTGTCCAGGAATGGACCAATTTTTCCAATTCTTCTGCTTCTTCCAAATCCCCACTCCAAGAAAAACCAAAGCTGCATAGAAACCATCACTAAGCAACACTGACACTGGGCTGCACTGTGGGGGGGTATGTGTGTGGCCTTGGGACATTACCCGCAGTACTTTGACCAGCAAACATGTTTCGACATCACAGGGAATGAGGCTACTCTCTTCCCTCCTGAAAACTTGACTTTGTGGGCTGGTGGAGTATTTAGGGTGCTAGGATAAGCCATGTGCACAAATGTCACCTCTCCCACCCTGCTGCAGGGCTCGGAGGTGGTTCAGAGGGGGTGGTGTGGGAGTATTAAAGGTGCTGATAGAAACACAAGGGCATCAGTGCAGACTGAGAACAAGGCCAGTGGGCTCAGCAGCTGTGGGATTGGGGCAGTGACAGGGCCAGATGTGAAGGGAGCAGGAGAGAAATATTTCTTTCATGGAGGACATCACTGTCAGGAAGGGTCCAGGGGCAGCGTGGACATGTGTCCCTGAGAGGACATGGGGTTGTGTGGGGAGGCCTGAAAGGAAAGGAGGGCACTAGACATAGTGACGGAGGTGGCCTGTCCCCACGACATGCCTACATAACAGTCCCCATGAGAGCTGGAGCTGCATCCCTGGCTGAAGCAAGTGGTCCCCCTGCTCCTGCACCACTTCAACCCCTAGAGGTGGACAGTAGTCCTTTCCTGCACATTTTCTAAATCAGAAACAAAAAGCACGGGGATATCTTCCCTATGCTCCTGTATCAATTAGAGTAAAGGGTTCAGCCACTGTATGTGACAAAAGATACTCAAATTAACAGAGAATGGATAGAGGTAGAACCTTAGCACTCACCTCTCCTCCTAGGCTCAACCTGTCCCACGTTTGAGTGACAAAGAGTTGCCCTTGTCAGCATGTACCCAATGCCAATCATACCTCACTCCAGTTAATCAAAGACCACCAGGCAGGAAGGTACTCCTCTTCCCTTGAGCTACACCCATCGCCTTCCTTCTAATTATCAAGTGCATCATTCCATCACCTCACCTAGCTGCAAGAGAACCCAGCATCACTCACTGTCATGGAGCCCTGTTGCTCCATACATTCTTCTCAAGTTGCAATTACAAATATACGTGCTTATTTAGTTACGGACTGTCATCTCAACTATTCTCTAAGCTCTGTGAGTAGGGGATTATGTTTATTTCCTTCCCCCACTAAATAGCAAATACCTCCCACAGTCTCCAGACCAGATAGATCCTTGAAATGTAACAAACCATTGAAAGAGTGATTGGAAACAAAGATGAACAAAGAAAAAGGGGGGTGGGGTGGGGGAGTGAGTTGGTTCACGTTGCAGACCTTTCATTTCCCACTTAGTGAGAATCTGATCCAACTTCTTCAGGATCATACCAAAAAAAAAAAAAAAAAAAAAACCAAACTCACTGTCATCAAGGTGGAAAGGACAGAGGGAGGGAGAGAGTGAGAACAGATTAGGGAAGTTTTTTCAATAGCCCAGAGCTCTTTACTCAACCATATCTACTAGATTTGTCAAAACGTAAAGCAGGTAAGGGGTGCAGCTCTAACTGAAGCCTTGGGGAAAGTGTCCAGGGTCCTGACCACTCACCCACCACTGTGCTCCCTGCAGAACCCCCATGACATTCCTGTGTGATATAGTATGAACGGTGGGGTTATTGCGTAAGCAATGAAACCATAGAGTTATTTATGCAAGAGAGTGACGTGTCCACCATCTTGTTTTCAGAGGATGGGGCCAGCTTGGCTGTGGCTGCTGGGAACAGGGGTCCTGGTTTCTGTCCATTGCCAGCCTTTTCCCGCACATGGACATAAGAGTCTGGGGATGCCTCAAGCCCACAGTGACCAACTCTCAGAGCCAGTCCCGGCATACCACAAAATCACACCCACCATCACCAATTTTGCTTTACGTTTATATAAGCAGCTGGCAGCAGACATTCCTGGAAACATATTATTCTCCCCAGTGAGCATCTCTACCACCTTGGCCCTGCTCTCTTTTGGGACCAAGGCTGACACCTCAACTCAAATCCTGGGGGGCCTGGGCTTTAACCTCACAGAGACACCGGAAGCCGACCTCCACCGTGGCTTCCAGAGCCTCCTCTACACCCTGGACCTGCCCAGCCCCAAACTTGAACTGAAAGTCGGCAACTCCATTTTCCTGGACAAGCACCTCAAACCTCAGCAGCGCTTTCTCAATGGCATCAAGGAGCTGTACGGTGCCTTTGCTTTCTCTGCCAACTTCACGGATGCTGCTGGGATGGGGACGCAGATCAATGAGTACGTGAGAAAGCAAACGTATGGGAAGGTGACAGACAGCCTGCAAGAGGTCAACCAAGACACACTCATGGTTCTCTTGAATTTCATCTTCTTCAAAGGTGAAGGCTTGCTTGGGCATGACCGTTGCCACCTCCTAACTCCAGCAAATGCTCTTACCCAAGAGAGGCCAGAGACAGATGCTCTGAGCCTCAGGATCTGGACTTGAAGCTCTGAGTTACTATTGTTGTTATGTGCCGTCGAGTCGGACCCGACTCACAGCAACCCTTCCTTGGGTTTCCGAGGCAGTATCACTACAGAAGTTGATTGCCCCAGCTTCCTTCTGAGGAAGTTCTGAGGGAGGGGCCTTCTTCCCTCCCTGCTCCTTCCTCCCCCTCCCCCTCCCTCCCTCCCTTCTTTCTTTCCCTCCTTCCTTCCTATCTCTCTCTCTCTCTCTCTTTTTTTTTTTTTTTTGCTTTATTCAATTTTTTCACCAAACACTAGTAAAAGTACAACGTAGAATGGAAAGGCCTTCAGCTGTTTCTGGTGGAAACCCTCCTACATGCAAATAATATCTTTCATTTCAGTTTCTCAGCCTTGATCCCTCTACCTTTGTTTCATTCTAATTTTTTAATAGCATTAATCTCACTTTTCTACTATTATGTAGGAAAAATCTATATTTTATATCATAATATATTTTGAATACACACAGAATAATACAAAAGTCATACAGAACACTCCTCCACCAGAAACAATCACCCATTAAGTTGTTTTTGAACTTTTTTGTGATTTGGGTGAGATTTTACAAAGCACCTTGGTTTTCCATTCAACAGGTCTTACACATTTTGCTTTGGGACTCTGATCACGATGTAACAGCTCTCCTCCTACGTCCTCCCCGCAGCTACCCCTCCCCAGTGTCCTTGCCTGCGCGTTCCTGCCTCCCCAGCTGTCTCCCCACGCAAATGCTGCCCTTCTGATCTCCCTTGGTGGATTCTTCTAAGGAGTACATCTCCCTGGTGTAGTTGTTCAGCTCATGGGCCTGTCTATTGGTTGCAGCTAAGCCACCAGCGTGAGTCCAATGCCAGGCCCAAAAGTTACCAGGGGCCATAGTCTCAAGGGTTTCCCCAGTCTCTAGCTGACCAGTAGTCCTGGTGTTTTTTTCTGGTTTTGAATTTTGTTCCACATACTTTCTCCCGCTCTATCTGGGATCTCTAATTTTGAACCCTTTCCAAGTATCAGCCATTACATTTTTCCATTTGCTTTAGATTTTTTATTTTTAAAGTTGCACTATTACAGATGCAGTTCAAAACCTTTTTAATCCTTTCCTGGCCCCATTCTATCCACCCATCCCTCCCCAGAGGCAACCACTATCCTAGGCTTGGTGTGTATCCTTACTGCCAGTGTGTCCACACCATTAGTACATAAGTATGCATCCATAATCATGTGAAATACTATTTATGCATTCAAAAAGTTTACACAAATGTTGTTATATACTATATATTATGGTATCCTAGAGTCCTAGTGTGCATGTATATATCTGTCCTGGAGGAAGTGCAACCAAAATGCTCCTTAGAAGTGAGAATGGCCAGGTTTTGTCTCACCTGCTTTGGTCATGTTGTTGGAAGGGACCAGTCCCTGGAGAAGGACATCGTGTGTGGTAAAGTAGAGTGTCAGCCAAAAAGGAGAAGACCCTCAGTGAGGTGGACTGACAGTGCCTGCAATGATGGGCTCAGACACAGCAAGCATTGTGAGGTTGGCACATGACTGGGCGCCGTCTCATTCTGTTGCACACAGGGTCACATGAGTCAGAGCCAACAGGATGACGCCTAAGAACAACATCACGGTGAACCTATTTATTTTTTATTTTGCAATTACTATGTCTTTATATGGGAGCTCTGGTAGCATAGTGGCTAAGGCACTTGACTGCTAACCAGAAGGCTGGCGGTTCAAACCCACCAGCCACTCCTCAGAAGAAAGATGGGGCAATCTACTTCCATAGTGATACTGTCTAGGAAACCCAAGAAGGGGTCGCTATGAGTCGGGTCCGACTCAATGGCACATAACAACAACAACAACAACATGTCTTTATATAGGGAGCTCTCTGGTAACTCAGTGCCTAAGGCACTTGACTGCTAACTAGAAGGCTGGCGGTTCAAACCCACCAGCCACTCCTCTGAAGGAAGATGGGCAATCTACTTCCATAGTGATACTGCCTTGGAAACCCAAGAAGGGGTCGCTATGAGTCGGGTCCGACTCGACAGCATATAACAACAACAAACAACAAATGTCTTTATATTATTGCTGTCAGTTGCTGTCGAGTGAGTTCTCATTCATGGAAGCTTTACAGACAACAGAACACAGTGTGACTCTCCCCTCAGCCTGTCCCGTGCCCCCTTTGTCATTGCTGGTATGTTTCTGTCCATCTCACTGAGTGTTTCCCTCATCTTTGTTGCTCCTCTACAAACCCACTGGCCCATGTACCAAAACTATACCAAACTCACTGCCGTCGAGTCGATCCCGACTCATAGAGACCCCTCCTTGGGTTTCCAAGGTGGTGTCACTACAGAGGTAGATTGCCCAATCTTCCTCTCTGAGGAGTGGCTGGTGGGTTTGAACCAACAGCCTTCTGGTTTGCAGTCAAATGCCTCAGGCACTATGCCACCAGAGCTCCTAACCCATGTGTGAGACTTGAAAACATAGACCTTTTCCTGTGGATGACTCCTTCCACTCCTGGACTTGGGAAGGTGGTGGCCCTTCCTGCTTCATCCCTGAGTGTTGGGCAGAGTTTGCTAATCCAACCTTCCCAGATGGGGAGTGGCTCCTGGCTACTTGCAGAGAGCTTAGTTCCAAGGTGGGCTTAAGTTTCAATTACAGCCCCTGAGAAGACATTAAGCACCACTCCCTGAAGCCTGTATCTGATCCCAAGAGCCCAGAAGCCAGAAGAGCTCACCTCAGCTCAGATTTCAGACTTCCTGCTTTGTCTCTGGAACCTTACTTGAGTTTGAACTCAGCCATTTTGGGGTTTGTTTCTGTTTTCCAATATTTAATCCATTGTTACTAAATGTTTAATCAAGAGGAGAGTTTTTCTGCTTTACTCCTATCTATACTGCTGACCAGTCTCTATACTACTGACCAGTCTCAAGGGCTTGAGTCTTATCATCTTTGACTATCCAGAGTCTGTTGTTGTTGTTGTTGTTATGTGCTGTCAAGTCAGACCCAACTCATAGCAACCCCTCCTTGGGTTTCCGAGGCAGTATCACTATGGAAGTAGATTGCCCCATCTTCCTTCCGAGGAGTGGCTGGTGGATTTGAACATCCAGCCTTCTGGTTAGCAGTCAAGTGCCTCAAGCACTATGCCACCAGAGCTCCACTCCAGAGTCTAACGTGGGCCAAATATTTTAAATGTTTGCTAAATGAATTATTTCAAGCTAAACTTAGGTCTCATGTCTGAGGCTTTTAGAAATGTCATTCATTCATTCATTTATTCCAGAACATATATGAAGTACTGACTACATTTTACAGATTTTGCTAATGTCTATAAAATGTATAAGATCATGTTTTCCCACCTGTGTAGCTCCCAGTCCCATAAGGTTGCAAATAAGTAAAGAAGCAACTACAGCTCAGTAGGATGCTGAAGTTCTGCTTGAATAGGTATGGGGGCTATGGAGACACCTGTTCAGACTAGTTGAGTGAGGGAAGGCTTCCTGGAAGAGAAGACATCTAAGCTGAGACATGAGCAATGAGTAGGATACACTCAGGCAAAGAGGCTGTAGCAGAGGTGGGGAGAAGAGAATTCAGATTGGAAAATAGGCTGTGCGAAGATGCAAGGAACTGAAACAAGTTTCACTTACCCATAGCATAGACTATCATAGAAGGTGCGCTGAGGGCAAATTGCTGAGAACAGCCCTGAAGGGAAGGCAGGGCCTCACTGAGGATCCTGGACTTTAGCCCATAGGAACCCAGAATTGCCAAAATGTTTAAGCAATGCAGTGACATGATCAGATCTGTTTTATCAACATCAGTTTCTGCAATTTGTCAAGCGGTTTGCAGGAAAGTGAGAGTGGGGTAGTAGGAACAGGCTAGGAGTTTCCTGAAGTGGTCCAAGGTGAGTGTGATGGTGGCCTTAAATAAAGTTCTGGCTTTGGAGATAGAATCAACAATACTTGGTGACTGATTGAGTCTAGGCAGTGGAGAGAAGATGACCCAGCCCATGCTTCTGCCACCAAGGCCAGTGTTTTCAGGAGACCAGGTCAGGAGGTTGTTGTGAATGGAGATTGTAAGTAGTGAGAGAGAAGACATTGTGTTCATGGACATGACTGTGACTGACAGATTTTTGCATTACACATTCCATGTTATTAACTGGAATCTGCTCCCTTTCCATTTTGAATATTAGGGAACTGGAGTGGGTGGCTCTTAAGCTTCACTGGATGGCAATCATCCTTAGAAGGTTGATATGTCCACTGGGCAGCTTGGCAGAGAGGGATCAACTCAATGTTTGCAACGAAATTGGGCTTACTTTCCTGGAAACTGCTAGACAAATTGCAGCAATTGATGTTGATAAAACAGATCCAGTCACGTCACTGCATTGCTTAAACCCTTTGGCAATTCTGGGTTCCCATGGGCTAAAGTCTAGGATCTCCATCAAGGCACTGCCTTCCCTTCAGTGCCATTCTTGGCATTTCCCCTCAGTGCACCCCCTATGGTAGTCTATGCTCTAGGTAAGTGAAACTTGTTTCAGTTCCTTGGGTCTTTGCACATGCTATTTTCCAATCTGAATGCTCTTCTCCCCACCTCTGCCCCAGCCTCTTTGCCTGAGTGTATCCTACAGCTAGGGCAGGCCAGGAAGTGGGAGTGGAGTGGTTTGGAACAGCTAAAGAGACAAACTTGTCTGTCAGTTTGTCATACTGTCGTGGCTTGAGTGTTGCTGTGAGACTGGAGGCTATGCCACCAGCATTTCAAATACCAGCAGGGTCCCATGGTGGACAGGTTTCAGTGGAGTTTCCAGACTAAGACAGACTCGGAAGAAGAAAGGGGCCATCTACTTCTCAGAGAATTGACCACTGAAAATCTTATGAATAGCAGTGAAACACTGTCTGACATAGTGCTGAAAAACTTTATGAACAGCCCTGAAATATTGTCCTATATAGTAGTAGAAGATGAGCCCATCAGGTCAGAAGTCTCTCAAAATAAGACTGGGAAAGAGTTGCCTACTCAGAGTGGAGGAGATCTTAATGATATGGATGGGACCTCCAATTGCTGATGTGGCATGACTCAACATGAGAAGAAATAGCTACAAACATCCATTAATAATTGGAACACGGAACGTAGAAAGTATGAATCTAGGAAAATTAGAAGTTGTCAAAAATGAAATGGAACACATAAAGATCAATATGCTAGGCATTACTGAGCTGAAATGGACTGGTTTGGGCCATTTTGAATCAACCATATAATCTATTATGTCGATAGTGACAAATTGAAGAGGAATGGTGTGGCATTCATCATCACAAAGAATGTTTCAATATCTGTCCTGAAGTACAGTGCTGTCAGTGATAGAATAATATCCATATGCCTATAAGGAAGTGCAGTTATTCAAATTTATGCACCAACAACCAAAGCCAAAGATGAGGAAACTGAAGATTTCTACCAACTTCTACAGTCTGAAATTGACTAAGCATGCAATCAATATGTGTTGGTTATCACTGGTGATTGGAATGCAAAAATTGGAAGCAAAGAAGAATCACCAATAGTTAGAAAATATGGCCTTGGTGATAGAAATAATGCTGGAGATCTCATGATAGAATTTTGCAAGAGCAACAACTTATTCATTGCAAATACCTTTTATCAACAACACAAACAGCAGCTATCCACATGTACTTTGCCAGATGGAGTACACAGGAATCAGATTGACTACATCTGTGGCAAGAGGTGATGGAGAAGCTCAATATCTTCAGCCAAAACAAGGCCAGGAGCTGATTGTGGAACAGACCATCAACAGCTTATATGCAAGTTCAAGTTAAAGTTGAAGACAATTAAAACATTAAAAGTTGAAGACAATTAAAATTAAAAGTCTACAAGATCCAAAATATGACCTTGATTATATCCTTCCTGAATTTAGAGACCATCTAAAGAATAGATTTGATGCATTGAACACCAATTGACAGAAAACCAGAGGAATTGTAGGATGACATCAAGAACATCACCCATGAAGAAAGCAAAAAGTCATTAAAAAGACAGGAAAGGAAGAAAAGACCAAAATGGATGTCAGAAGAGACTCTGAAACTTTCCCTTGAGCAGAGTAGTTAAGCAAATGCAAGAAATGACAAGATGAAAGAGCCGAACAGAAGATTTCAAAGAACAACACAAGAAGACAAAGCCAATTATTATAATGAAATGTGCAAAGACCTGGAGTTAGAAAATCAGAAGGGAAGAACATGCTCAGCATTTCTCAAGCAGAAAGAACTGAAGAAAAATTTAAGCTTCAAGTTGCAATATTGAAAGATTCTATGGGCAATAAAGTGAATGATGCAGGAAAAAACAAAAGAAGATGTAAGGAATACACAGAGTCGCTGTACAAAAAAGAACTGGTTGATGTTCATCCATTTTAGGCAGTTCCATATGATCAAGAACCAATGGTATTGAAGGAAGAAGTCAAAGCTGCACTGAAGTAATTGGCAAAAAATCAAGCCTCCGGAAATTGATGGAATACCCATCGACATGTTTCAACAAATGGATGCCCCGCTGAAGGCACTCACTTGGCTATGCCAAGGGATCTGGTAGACAACTACATGGCCAACTGACTAGAAGAGATCTGTATTTGTACCCATTCCAAAGAAATATGATCCCAAAGAATGTGGAAATTATCAAACAATATTAATATTGCACTCAAGTAAAATCTTACTGAAGATAATTCAAAACCCATTGCAGGAATATATAGACAGGGAACTTCCAGAAATGCAAGCTGGATTCAGAAGAGGATGTGGAATGAGGGATATCATTGCTAATGTCAGATGGATCTTAGCTGAAAGCAAAGAATTCCAGAAAGATGTTTACTTGTGTTATATTGACTATGCAAAAGCATTCAATTGTGTGGATCATAACAAATTATAGGTAACATTGACAAGAATGGGAATTCCAGAAGACTTATTTGTACTCATGAAGAATCTGTACATAGACCAAGAGGCTGTTCTTTGAGCAGAACAAGGGGACACTGCATAGTTCAAAATCAAGAAGGGAGTGTGTCAGGGTTGTATCATTTCACCAGACTCATTCAATCTGTATGCTGAGCAAATAATCCAAGAAGCTGAACTTTATGAAGAAGAATGTGGCATCAGGGTTGGAGGAAGAATCATTAACAACAACAATAATGCAGACGACACAACTTTGCTTGCTGAAAGTGAGGATAACTTGAAGTACTTACTGATGAAGATTGGAGACTACAGTCTGCAGTATGGATTACACCTCAGTATAAAGAAAACAAAAATCCTCACAACTAAACCAATAAGCAGTGTAATGATAAATGGAGAAAAGATTGAAGTTGTCAAAGACTTCATATTACTTGGCTCTACAATCAACAGCAATGGAAGCAGCAGTCAAGACATCAGATGACATATTGCATTGGTCAAATCTGCTGCAAAAGACCTCTTTCAAGTGATGAAGAGTAAAGATATCTCTTTGAAGACTAAGGTGTGCCTAACCTAAGCCATGGTAGTTTCCGTGGCCTCATATGCATGTGAGAGCTGGACAATGAATAAGGAAGACCAAAGAAGAATTGATCCTTTTGAGTTGTGTTGCTGGCGAAGAATGCTGAAAGTACCATGGACTGCTAAAAGAACTAACAGATCTGTCCTGGAAGAAGTGCACCCTTAATGCTCCTTGGAAACAAGAATGGCCAGACTTTGTCTCACCTACTTTGGTCATGTTGTCAGAAAGGACCATTCCAAGTATATCAATGCTTGGTAAGGTGGAGGTTCGACAAAAGAGGGGAAGGTTCTCAACAAGATGGATTGACACAGTGGCTTCCACAATGGGCTCAAGTATAGCAGGGATCATGGAGCTGGCACAGGACCAGGTAGTATTTCATTCTGTTGTGCATAGGGTCACTGTGAGTCAGAGATGACTCAATGGTATCTAACAACAACAACAACAACAACAACTGAAATCTTCTCCCTTTCCACTTTGAATATTGGGGAGTTGGAGGGAGTGGCTCTTGAGCTTCACTGAACAGCAGTCATCCTCAGAAGGTTGCTGTCTACAGGGCTACTTGGCAGAGAGGGATCAACTCAATGTTTGCAAAGAACTTGGGCTATGGAGTCAGATTCAGGGTGCAGATCCCAGCTGTACCACTTAACAGCTTTGCAAATTGGGAACATTTATATAAATTCACGGGGATTCTGTTTCTTCATCTGTAACGTGGAGATAATAACAATTGTTTCTGTTAGTTTTGTGAAGATTTAAAGAGATAATGCCTCACAGATACCAAAAAGCCACTGCCATCAAGTCAATTCTGACTCTTAGTAACACTTAAGGACAGAGTGGAACTGCTCTATGGAGTTTTTAAGGCTATAAATCTTTACAGATGCAGACTGCCTCATCTTTCTACCACAGAGCTGGTGGGTCTGAACCATTGACCTTTTGGTTAGCAGCCAAGTGCCTCACCGCTATAGCACCAGAGCTCCTTGTCTCACATATAAAACCCAAAAAAAAAAAAACCAAACTCACTGCCCTCAAGTTGAATCCAACTCATAGAGACCTCTCCTTGGGTTTCTGAGGTGGTATCACTGTGGAAGAAGACTGCCCAAACTTCCTTCTGAGGAGTGGCTGGTGGGTTTGAACTGCCAGCCTTCTGGTTAGCAGTCAAATGCCTTAGGCACTACATCACCAGAAGGTGCTTAAACCAGTTGCTGTCAAGTCAATTCTGACTCATGGTGACCTTATATATATAAGAGTAGAACTATGGTCCATAGGGTTTTTTATTTTATTGGAATTTTCAGAAAACCAAATTCTGCATTTGTCTATTCTCTCTGCACTCACTCCTCGCTGATCCACACAGTTGGGCTCCAAACTCCAAACTCCAAGTCATTATGTGAAAGTTGCCCTTAAGCAAAAGCGGAGGATAAGAGCATGGATCACAAGATGGAGGATGACTACATCATTGCGTAACTGCCAAAATGACATCGTTGCACAATTGCCAAACCACTGAGAACCATGGCCCTGCCAAGTTGACACATAACCTTAACCGTCACAGCCAGTATTACTCTCACCTCACACCTCAGCATTCCTTACTCCCAGGAGTACATCATTAATGTGAAAATAGTCACAACGTAGAATTTTTACTATTGTCGTAAATGTGAAATATCAAATAATAAGACAGTTGGTATGTAAGAAGTGGGCTTTTGTGCTTTCCATTTCTTATTTCTGCTCTGAATCCATAGCGTTTTCAATGGCTGATATTTCAGAAATGCATTGTCAGGCCTTTCCTCTGAGGTGGCTCTGAGTGGACTCAGACCTCCAACCTATCAGCAGCTGAGCACACTAACCATTTGCAAGCCCCAGGGGCTCCTCAAAGGTGCTTAGAGGATGCGAATAACTTTTGACCTCTTGAAAGCTACACTGCTCTGAAGTGGCACAAAATCATATAGGTCATTAAAGTCCAAACTCTGGGGAGTTGTTTTAGTGCCTGAGTGGGATCTAGATCTTGACCTCTGAGTCATCTTTCCCTTGCCTCAAATATATACCCAAGAGGAAGTCACCAAACCCCCGTGGCTTGTGGACGTCTGTCCAGAGTAGCCCTTTTGGAGATGTTCTCATGGTTTTACGGGTTTTGTGTCCTAAGCCAAGTGGAAGCATCCTTTCCATCGCTACCAGACCCAGAAGCAGGAGAGCTTCTTTGTGGATGAGAGGACCTCCCTCCGGGTCCCCATGATGCACCAGAAGGAAATGCACAGGTTCCTCTATGACGAGGAGCTGGCTTGCACTGTCCTCCAGATCGAATACAGTGGCAATGCCCTGGCCCTGCTGATCCTCCCTGACCCAGGGAAAATGGAGCAGGTGGAGGCTGCTCTGCAGCCAGAGACCCTGAGAAAATGGGACCAGCTGCTCCTGCCCAGGTAAGGACAAGTGCTTTGTGACAGACCTTAACCAAGTCTTGAGTAGTTCTTGAACAATGCTGGTTGCAAGAGCCCAGATTCTGGCTTCAAATCATGGGCCTGCCCTCCACTAACTGGGTCTTGGGCACTTTTCTTACCCCTTGGGATCTTAGGTCTCCTCATCTTTTGGGGTCTTAGATTTTTCTCAAGTCTAAATGTGAGAATCTGAAGTCCACTGATTGGGTTTCTCAGAAACTGAATCGAGTTAGTACTTACAGAGAACGTAGGATGGTTCCCATTGGTGCATACTAAGTACTCACTTGAGAGAGCATCACTCTTCCACTTTCAGAGTGTCTTTCTGGCCTCAATCTCCTTTCCTCTCACTCCTCTCTTCTCCTAATAGAAATGTCCTACATAACAACAACAACAAACCTAGAGGTGGTACATTGAGTTGAGTGCAGCCAGCAAATCAAGCGAAGTATGATGCCTGAGAATAATCATGACTGCCACACAACAGTGCACATTTTTAAAAGGTGCCTCTTTTTTAATTAAAATACCTTTTAAAAAAAATACCAAGGAGAATGTTGTAGAAATCAAGGTGTCAGTTTTATGCAATCACTAACCGATTGCCTTTCATCTCACTTGCTTTTTGTGTGTGGCTTTCTCATGGCAGTTCCAGCTATTACTGGTTTCCCTGACCCCTTCACCAGTTACTCCATTCTCAGGTGCATCTTCTTCTGTGGCCTGCTCTGGAATACAGTCAGGCCCTGAATTCTTGTTGCCGTACAACAGGCCACCCCAAAATCTCTCTCTGGGTTCTGTGGGCTGACTAGGCTCCGCTGAACAGTGATGAGGTAGGTAACTGAAGTCAGACAGGTGAGAGATGAAGGTGGCCTGTATTAGGAAATGACGAGTGGGTGGATTTAGTATATAATCTGGAAGTTTGAGCCAACAGGACTTGCTGAAGAAGCAGATATGGACGTGGGAGAATATTAACAGTGTTTATCTTATATGACAATTAGGTGGATTCAATCAATTAAGCCTTGAAAAACTTAGCCCAGTTTGGCTCCTAGAAAGCCCTCCATGTACGTGACTGAGATAATGAAGATGTAGGGGTATACCAGGAGTCTTCTCAGACGCAGTCACGAGGCCTCTGGGAGCTCTGAGAGAAGGGGCTGTGGGTAGTGGAACGCTCTGCCTTGGCAGCAGCACCTCTGTGGGGCTGAGCTTATGCAGCCTCTCTTCCACAGCTCAGGCTGCCAACAGCCAGGCAAGGGCGGGACGTAACATGACAGCTCCCTTCCTCTGTCTACTTCTCTCTGCAGTCTGCTGGACTTGCATCTGCCAAGGTTTTCCATTTCTGGAACGTATAACCTGGAAGAGATCCTGCCCAAAATCGGTCTCTCCAACGTGTTCAACTTAGACACCGACTTTTCAGGAATCACTGGGCAGCCCAACAAAACCATCTCCAGGGTAAGGAGTGAATTGGGGCTGGGGCTTCTTTGCTCCCTTGGCACGCAGTGCGTGTTGAAAGTCAAGTTCCCCTTTCTTTTGCTTATTCCGGTTCTTCACTACCACGGCTTTGAGGGTGCTCTTCACTATCGCCCAAGAAAATAGCTCATGGCAACTCCCTTTCCATCACCCCTTCTTCCTGAAGGCTATGTTCTTCAGGACAGCCATCCAGGACTTTGAATTGGGTAGACCCATTTGGGGAGCTAGAATAGTGTAGGAATAGCTTTATACCCAATTCTCACTTATCAACATGGTTAGGTTCCAAAGACCAAGCCACTATGTGAAAATTGTCATTATGGAAAATGGAGGATGACATCAGATCACAAAATGGAAGATGATTCCATCATTACATAACTGTAAGATTACATCATTACAGAGCTGCCAAACCACTGAGAATCACGGCCCTGCCAAGGGGAAACATAACCGTCCCAGCCAGTGTTACTCTTGCCTTGCAACTTGCCATTCATTACTGCTGGACGTTCCTCATTAATGAGCAGAATAGTCAGATGGTCGTTTTGTTATTGTCATAGACATGAAATGTTGGATAACAAGATAGTCAATAAGTGAGCTGTAGATAGATGTTTTTCTTCTCATTCTCATTCAAAAGCAAAGGCCTTTCCCTGCTTTGTGGTTGCTCATTCTTCCTGCCAGGGCAAGGCTCTGTGCCTTCATTGTAGCTCTAGGCAGCAATGGGGTATCAGTCAGGTTTACTGCAATAACAAACAACTCCAAATCTCGAGCCTTAAAATAACAGTGCCTATTGCATGTCAGAAGTGTGACACGACCACTTGGCTGCAGATCTGCCTCTATGTCCTCTTCTTTCCAGGATGTAGGTTAAAGGATAAGCCCCTATTTGGGACATGCCACTCTCATCAGGAGCTCTGGTGGCTAAGTGGTTAAAGCATTTGGCTGCTAACCCAAAGGTCAGCAGTTTGAACCCACTAGCCACCCTGCAGGAGAAAGATGAGGCTGTCTGCTTCTGTAGAGATGTACAGCCTTGGAAACCTTGCGAAGCTGTTCTACTCTGTCCTCTAGGGGCGCTATGAGTCTGAATCCTTTTGGCAATGGCTTATTCTCCTAGCAGTGGGAAAAAGGCAAGAGGGACTGTGGAACAGCTCTCAATGCTTCTCCTCCCACGTGGCCTACGTCATGGCTGCTTACATGCCAGGGCCCAAGCAGGTCCTGAAGTCAAGGCCAGTATTGATGGGTGGGGCCATGGTCTCCCACAAAGGCACACTGCAAGTCACAAGGAAGGGGAAGGGTTTGTAATCCTCTAACAGAAAAGGAAAGTCCCTGGGTGGTATAGCAGTCTGTGATCGGCTGCCAGCCTAAAGGCTGGTGGTTCAAAGTCACCCAGCAGGAAGAAAGGCCTAAGAGTGGTTCCACTGTGTCGTGTGGGGGACCCATGAGCCAGCAGCACCTTGATGGCAATGGAGTTTCTCTCTCTCTTTCTCTCTCTTTTTTAACAGAGAGGGACAGATATAATAGAGAAAGGGAAGCAAAGGCCTTTCCCTGCTTTGTCAGTTGTCAATTGTCATTTTTTTTTAAAAGAATAGAGTCAATAATGACCAACTGAGTCTTTGATCTGAACTTCATTGGAAGCCAGCTGAGAGTTGAATATGAAACCAAGGCAGCAGTCAGGATGTACTGTGTGTGTGTGTGTGTGTGTGTGTGTGTGTGTGTGGTGCGTGAACATGTGTGTATGGGAGGGTAAAAAACAAAAAAGTTGTGTCTTTTAAAGTTGTATCTTTAATGTCAGATTTAGCTTTTCACAGTTTTTCAGAAATGAATGGATTGCCAGGCCAGTGTTTTCTCGTTTCTTTTAGCCTCAGAGTCCTTCCTTCCTAGGAAGCCAGCTGTAGCAGAGGGCACTCCAAGCACCAAGCTACCTGCCGCTCCGGTCTTCCGCACCAGGAAGACTAGCAGCTTCTTCAGGAACTGCCAGGGTTCCCCTGAGCACAGTTTGAGAACCACTGACGCAGGTTCACCAATCCACTTTAAAGATGAGAAAACTGAGGCCTGGAGAGGTTAGGTGCAGTTCAGAGCAGAAAGCGCCACCAAGGCCTGTGTCGCTTGTACCCGGTGCTGCAGGAAGGCTCCTCAGAGCTCTGCGGAGTTTTGCAGCCTGGTGTGCATGCTGGCTTCCTCGACTTTGCTCAGGCTCATCTGTCCCCGTCAAAGGGCAAAGGGCACTGTCAGAGCAAACCCCCAGGGCGCAATGGAGACAGAGCAAGTGGGAGAGAGGAGAGGAACAAAAGCTGGGGTGGCCTCCTAGGAAGGCAGAGTGTGCAGTAGGGGGAGATCCGTGCTCCCCTCAAGGCTCCCGGAACTGACACTTCTCTGTCTCCAGGTGTCACACAAGGTGGCGGTGGAGATGAACGAGAAGGGGACCGAGGCTGGGGCTGCCTGTGGCCTCCTCTCCCAGCCCCAACCTCTGAAGCCAATGACAGCATCTCCTGTGCATCTCAGCAGACCTTTTCTAATGCTCCTTTGGGATGTGACCACCCAGAGCTTACTCTTCATGGGAAAAGTGGTCAACCCTGCTGCAGGGTGACGATGGTGGGAGGCCAGGGAGTATCTGATTTCTGTCCCAAGGTCTGGGTCCCTTTTACCCAGGCTGAACTGGAAGGCCGGCAACCACCTGCTGCATAGGGCAGAGAGTCTTCTTCTGCCACTTCTCAGTGGGCAGAGAGTCTAATAAAGTTGACTTTGGGCTTGATGAACATGGAAGCAACAGTGTTTGAAGCAAAGGGTCAGCCCCAAGAGGAATTGTTAGCACTCTTTCTGTGCCAGTACCTCTGCCAGCTCCCGTCGATGCCAACTCACAGCAACCCCACGTGTGTCAGAGGAGAGTCAATTACACTCTGTTGGGTTTTCAGTGGCTGCTTTCTCAGAAGCAAATCACCGGGTCTTTCTTAGGAAGCACTGGGTGGACTTGTACCATCAGCCCTTTGAGCAGCAGCCGCATGTCTTAAACTTTTGCATCACCTAGGGATGCCACTCATCCTATGATCCCCTTGGGTCTAGCATCATGCTGTAGTCAGAAAGTTGGCAATCCATACCACCCCCACTGCAGATCTTCCCTGAGCTCCTTTGGGTAAGGGTCATAAGAAAAGGCACAAAGGAACCAGGAGGTGTAAGTGATTCTCTCCCTTCACAGTGACCCATCTCAGCTGGACAGCAGAGTGACAGCATCCTGAGACATCACTGACCCCTTTGAGAGGAGGTGGGAGCTGAGGTGGGAGGGGAGAAGGGATACTGAGGATGGCCCAGTGCAGTGCAATGGGTCAGCCCAGCAACGCCGCCAAAGCAAGCAGGGAGGGGAGAGCATCAGAGCCCAGGGGCAACCCAGGGCCACAGTCGTGGGAGGAGCAGCATGGCCAGGGAGGACGAAGGGTTTAGGAGGAAAGCATGGTCAGTGGGAAGAATTTGGTCATCAGATGACTCAGATGGCTTGTGCTTGACTTCTAACCTAAAGGCTGGCATTGCGGTGGAAGAAAGGTGATTGGTTTCCATAAAGACAGCCAAGAAAACTCTATGGAATATGGGATCCCATGCCTCAGAATCAACTTGATGGCAACAGGTTCGGTTTAGTGTTCTGGTTTATCATTATTATTATTCAGTTGAGAGGTGCGTTGGTGCAAATCAAACCCAGGTCTCGGCGTCAAAGATGAGAGTTCTACCATGGAACCCCCACTGCACTCAATGTGTGGCCACCACCCACCTGTCAGTGGAGGCTTGGTGCTTCTGTGACACTGAACAGGTTTCAGGGGAGCTTCCAGACTAAGACGAGGGAGAAAGGCCTGGTGACCTACTTCTGAAAGTCAGCCACCAGTGAGGACCCTGGGTCACAAAGGTCTGATCAGCGACCAACAATGGGAAGAGGCAGGACCAGGCAATGCTTTGTTCCACTGTGCATGGGGTCCCATGAGTGGAGGCTGAGCAGAAGGCCTTGCTCAGAGGGCCCCTACTATGACGTTCCACTCCAGTCTTCGAGCAGCATGCCTCAAAGACTAGTGGGAAACACAAAGGATGTCAATCTAGCTGCGAGTGACAATACTGTCACCACAGTGGTGTCTGGGCCAAGACCTCCTGGGTGACTATGGCTGGTGCATGTCTGGAAGGAGCCATCCCAGAAGATACCCAGTAGTAGAAGCCCCCATCACCACCTGAGGGAGGGGAGACTTGAGTTGGATCATGGAAAACAGGTAAGCCTTAAATAAAGGGAAAGGGAGTATGAGTCTGAGGAAGGACCTGAGACCTGTGAACACAGGCCACTGAGGAAGGGAAGGAAAAGGTGTCCTGACAAGATGAGAGAAGAGCAGGTTAGCAGGAGTGGGAAGCCTCTGTGGGAGGGTCACCGGCAGGCAACCACCCAGCTGCTGTCAAGTCGATTCCAACTCAGGGCGACCCCAAGTGTGTCAGAGCAGAGCTGTGCTCCATAACAGTTCATGGCTGATGTTTCAGAAGGAAATCACCAGGTCTTTCTTCCAAGGGACGTCTGAGAACACTTGGACCTCCAACCTTTCAGCTGGCAACCAAGCTCATTGACTACTGCACCACCCAGGGACTCTGTGTAGGATCATAGTGGAAGGAAAGGTCAGAGAGGGATCCAGAGGTAAAAGGTTGGAAACTAGAGGCCAACGTCAGGGGTAAGGGCTTTGTCCTGTAGGCCATGGGGAGTAACTGAAGGCTGGTGAGCTGATGTGGGTGTAGACACAGTGGTGATCAGGAAAATCATATGGCAACTGGGCAAGGAACATAGTGAGGGGGTCAGGCCAGGTAAAGGGGCAGCCAGGGAGGAGCAGCACTGTGAGGGCTGCCCCCACCACTCTGCCCTGCCCTGGCCATCCACCTCCCCCTCCACCACACCACCAGCACACGTGTTCCCATGTCCCATTCAGCCCCCCCCCACACCCACACACCCCAACTCCACCCTACTCTGCCTACTGGGTTTGTGGCTACCACTTTTCTTATTAGGGAGCTCTGGTGGCATAGTGCCTAAGGAATTTGACTGCTAACCAGAAGGCTGGCAGTTCGAAGCCACTCAGCCACTCCTTGGAAGGAAGTTTGGGCAAGGGGAAAAGCCTCGCAAGGCTCATCAGCCCATGTCTTGGGCACCCTACATGCTAATTACCTTACTGCTCTGAACCGGAAATTGAGTGACAGCTGTAGTCATATGGCCAGAAGGTCGACCAGATCCTCTCCAGCAGTGGAACTGGATCCTGCAGAAGTACAACAAACAAACAAACAAACTCACTGCCATCAAATTGATCCCAACTCACAGCAGCCCCCATTGGGCTTCTGAGGCTGTAAATCTTTACGGAAGTAGATTGCCCAGTCTTCCTTCCATGGAGCAGCTGGTGGGTTTGAAGTGCTGACCTTCTGGTTAGCAGCCCAATGCCTTATCCACTATACCACCATAGTCCCTTCCTGCAGAAATGAGTGACTGATTTTCCTGGGGACATTCAAGCCAGAGACATTAAAGAATAGGTCCCTGAGTTGAACACCTTGTGTTGGATCAGGCCTTCTGGAAGATTCTGGGAGTGTAATAGGAAACCTGCTAGACATGGCTCCCACCCTCACAGAGCTCACAGACTTGCAGGGGAGATGGCCATTGAACAAGTACTTAGATTAAAGCGTGTGGAGGGTCATTCCACGGGCTGCATGAAGGACTACTGGGGCACCCGCATTCACTACCGCAACACATATTCATTGAACCAACATCTGCCTTGTCCCAGACCCTGTTACAGTCACAGAGAGTCACGGAGGCAATAATTCCAGAAGGAGCTCAGGATCCCTCCTTCTCCTGAGGCTGGGCTGAGGAAGGGTTGTAGGAGGGCAGGGTGTCAGATCTAAGGCAGAACCCTCAGTTAAATTTGAATTTAGATAAACAACAAATAATCTTTAGCATAAGTATACCCCATGCAATATTTGAGACATACTAAAAAAAATTGTTTATCTAAAATTCATATTTAACTGGGCATCTGTATTTTTATTTGCTAAATCTGGTGATGCATTGGGGGGAGGTATGTAGTCAATGCTCTTGAGTCGAGGCCCATCAAGCTGAACAGCGGGCTGGCCTGGCCACAAGGGCTGAAAGAACAGGGAGTGGGGTTGAACAGACTGAGAGGAGGGAGGTGTGAGGCAGCCTGCTGAACAATGAGAGGTACATGGCTCAGCTGTCCCCAGCACCATGGTTAACACGCAGCCTATGACAAACCGTGAGTGAGGCCATCCCAGACCAGAAGCCCCCAGCTGGCCCACCAGTTGACCACAGACACTAAGGGAGCCCAGCAGAGATCAGCCGAGCCTGGCCCAGGCCGGAAGAACCATACAGCTGGCCTTCAGATCCATGAGCTAAGCAAATGCCTGTGGTTTTAATTCACTAACTTTTGGGATGGGTCGTTATGCACCAATGGGTAACTGATAGAAAGGGGACAGGCTATCTGGAGATGAGCCCTGGGATTTCTAGATTGAGAAGAAAAACAACATGATAAAATTGTGCTGCCTGAGTGTCCAAGTCCTCTCAGGTCCTCCACCACCCCTGTCCTCAGAAACTGAAGCAGCAGGTTCAGAGGTATCTGCCCATGTCCCCCATGTCAGGGAATCTGCCAGCTTGAAAGCCCTTGAGCAGGGCTGAGTGGGCCATGACGGAACACAGCTCAAGAATAACACACCTACTGGCAGTCCATCCGTAAGCTGCGCAGCAAAAGATGAACTGGAAATTTGGAACTGGGAAATGAACAATTATTGTCAAAGGGCTATGGGGCTAGAGCAGAGAAGTCACAGGCCGGTCACTAAAGGCCATATGTGAAGTGAATGAGAAGATGGTGTTGAGAGGAGGATGAGCAGATGCAGAGAGAGACAGCGAGGGCCCAGGAGAGACAGGGAGGAAACGGGCTCCGCCTTCTCAGACAGGCTCGGGTTCAGGGAGCAGGAAAGCTCTCAGCTGGTACAGTGGAGGGGTGCTTACCGTAAGGATGTAGGGCCACTCAAGGAATCCACTGAAGCCATCGGAGCATCTGTGAGAATGTGAACATCGGCGTGCCCTCAGGCAGGGTACTCTCTCAGCCCCTCTCGCCGCCTGCATGGTCTCTGTCTCAATGCCAGATACTTTGTCTGTACCGATTGACTTCCTGCCTGCAGGAACACCACGTCACAGCTGAGTACAAAGGGATGCTCACTCAGACCAGGTTCCCACCCGCAAAACTCTGCACAGCTGAGAATTAACGGTTAGTGGAGGGATATAGCTGGGAGAGGCCACGTAAAATCACTCTCAGAACTGTATATTTGGAAGTGACTACAGGAAACCAGGGGTCCCCAAGTGGTGTGAATAGTTAAGTGCTCAACTAGTAGCTGTAGGGCTGGTGACCAGCAGCACCTTAGGCGCTCTGGTGGCACTGTGGTTTAGGTGTGGGCTGCTGACCCAAAGGTTGGCTGTTTGAACCCACCATCCATGCCATGGGAGAAAGACGAGGCAGTCTGCTTCTGTAAAGTTACAGCCTTGGAAACCATATGTGGGTCATTATGAGTCAGAATCCACTCAATGGC